CAAGAAGGTGAGAAGTGGACTATGCCCACTGGGGTGTGTGCCCATCTGGAAGAACACACAGAAGCTGGTAACTGTGGGGGCCTCTGAGTGTGAAAATAGGAGAAGGTGGCCAGGAGAGGGATGGAGAACTGAACTTCCTCCATGCTCCTCTGTACTATTTGGATTTTTGTTTCCTTACATGCATGTTTTTCAAAAAAAAAAAATTAAGGAGTTTATTTATTCATTCAACAAGCAATTTTGGTATGGATTCCCGCCTTTGGGGGCAGACTGGTGCTGGGGGGCTGTGCAGCTGAGCCTTGTAACCTGTCATCCAGGCTGAGGTCTCTGACCGAGGGGGTACCACAAACTGAACATCGAGATAATGGTGTGGAAGCGAGACCCAGACAGGATAACACCCACCCACAGCCAGAACACAGGGCTGGAAAAAAAGGGACGGCATAGAACCTTGGGAAGATGACAGCTGAATGGGGGCAGCTTCCTGGAGGAGAAGTTGAGGGTAGGACTTAGATGATGGGTTTGGGGGCAGACAGAACTCTGGTCTCCAAGAAGATGCTACTCCCCACACCCCAGAACCATGGCTCTGATGATACATCACACCCATGAGTACCCAGCCTGTCTTAGCCGGGGCTGCTGCACCAAGCACTGTAGACGGAGTGTCCTAACAGCAGACACTTATTCCTCCAGTTCTCGAGGCTGGACGGCTGAGGTCAGGTGCCACACAGTCTGGTTCTGATGAGAACGCTCTTCCTGGTTTGCAGGTGGCACCTTTCTGCTGTGTCCTCACATGGTGGAGAAACAGAGAGCGCATGTCAATCTGGGTGGAATGGGTCTAATGGTTTAGTCCACATGGCATTACCTTACACAGCCAAAGGGACTCCGCAGATGTCATTAAGGTTACTGATGGGTTGACATTAACAGAGAAGATTCTCCTGGGTTACCTGGGTGGTAATCACCCAAATCCTTTCAACCCAGAGGCAGAGATGAAGGCAGAAGGGTTCAGAGAGCACACTGAAGCCTGAGAAGGCCTCCTTGTACTGCCAACAGGCTTTGCAGAGGGAGGGGCCTGGTGACCAGGAAGGTGGCTGGCTTCCAGGAGCTGAGAGAGCTGGCCTGGCTGGCAACCAGTGAGGGTACGGGGACCTCGGTGCTACCACCGTGAGGAATTAAACTTACCCTTTCCCAGGCCCCCAGATGAGAGCCCAGTCTGGCCAACACCCTCACTTCAGGCCTGTGAGGTGGAAGCAGGGAACCCAGTGAGCCCTGCCCCCACTTCTGACCTGCAGATGCTATGAGAGCACGAATGGTGCTGTTGGCAGCCGCCGAGTTTGTGGTGAGCTGAGTGTGTGAGTCCACACAGGGACACTCCACTGAGGTGACCAATGCTGCGGGGAGCTGGGGCCTGAAGGCAGGTACCCACGGGCCCCAGAAAAGCAGGCCCCCCAGTGAAAATGACCACCTAGGCTCGACGGCAGGGGGGCCACCAACACAGCCCGAAGGTCCAGGAGGCAGAGCACAGAGTGGGCCTCAGCCTGCCTGGAAGGCCCAGCGAGGCCCCCGTCCTCCAAGCCTGGCAGGAACAAGGCCCAGGGTGACCAAATGACCCAACTCTTCAAGAGAATCCAGAAACTCATTTTTTACACGAAATATTCTCATTCCAACTTTAAAAACACAGTGCTGGCCAACCTTGAGCAGAACAAGCAAATGAGAGGTGTGTCTTGAGCCAGAGGTGAGCTTCTGGGACATCTACCAAGTGTGAGTGGTCAGGCAGAAGAGCACCCAAGTGGGGGCCTTTCCAGGAGGCTGTGGGGACCCAGTTCTCCCTACCATGCAAAAGAGGAGGGACTCACACTTGCAGAAGACCCCCGCCCCAGTGCCCTGTGGGGGACCCACTCCCAGCCCCTGACAACCGGACATCTTAAGGGCAATGGGCCTTTTTCCAGAGGCCGCCACTGAGGCCAGAATGGGGACCCCCCAGACATGAGCTGGTGACTGTCTCAAAACTATGCCTTCAATTTCGAAAGCTGAGTCTGTCCAGCCACTCCACCTGGTCTCCTGGCATCGCGAGACTTTGCTCTTCTGATGGCACAGGGGTTTGCTGTGTGTTCCCAAGACCTGGACTCTTCCCCCCTCGCTAGTGAACCAGCCCCCTCCTCACTCAAGGCCTGGCTGTCCTGTCCAGTGCTCACCACGGCAGCCCCCCTTCAGGCAGCCCAGCCTTTTGGATCCCCCCGGTAGCTCAGTGTCTCAGCTTCCCAGCCCCGAATTCCTGAGAAAGTACTCTACCTGGTTTGAGTCATGTTTCTGCCCCAAGTGATGCTGGGCCAGAGGTCTCTAGCTAATCCATGGGGTGGGCTTCCCTGTGGTCAGATGTCAGTCCAGGCAGGACCCCTCTGTAACCCTTCCCTCCCTCCCTCACACCTGTCCAGACCACCCACCCCATTTCTAAGCAAGCTCATCTCAGGGCCAATCCCCAGAGGCATGAGCAGGACCATCAGGGGACAGGCTCGGGCCAGTCGTGTCCCTAACAGCAGCCCCCCAAACGCCTGACACCCATAAATGCAGCTCAAACAGCAGTGCCCGTACTAGGCCTGGTAAGCGGTCTCTCGTTATCATCCAAAGACTCTGGGATGCCCACTGTGACCCCAAGCAGGGGCATCGGCAGCAACACCACACCATTTACCTCCTCATCAGTTGAGTCACCCAGGTGAGCCAGGAAGCTCCACGCCCCACTCCCAAACCATCAGCGATTCCTGACCACAGAGCTGAGGGTCAACTCAGCCAAGGGTCTCTTCGCTTCCCTCTGAGAGGATGAGATTTTGACAGCAATGAGCTCCTTCTCTGCCTCGTTCTGACATGGAGAACTTCGGATACCTGTGCAGGGGCAACAGGTCAGTGAGGAAAACAGACACATGATGAGGTCGGAGGATGACTCGTGCCCAGGTGAGGCTTGAGTCTTAAATTCTCTTTATAAAAACTTCATTTTGTGTGAAGCAATTATCCTTCAATTTAAAAAAAAAAATTATTTTTTTTTCTTATTTATTTATTTATTTATTTTTGGAGGCTAATTACTTTACAATATTGTATTGGTTTTGCCATACATTGACATGAATCCGATACAGGTGTACATGTGTTCCCCATCCTGAAAACCCCTCCCACCTCCCTCCCCATCCCATCCCTTTTGAATGGAGGGCAGCAGGCTTTTAAGACAGTGCTACTGAGTTTATAGGGCTTCCCTGGTGGCTCAGATGGTAAAGAGTCTGCCTGTAGTGCAGGAGACCCAGGTTCAAACCCTGGGTGAGGAAGATCTCCTGGAGAAGGAAATGGCAACCCACTCCAGTATTCTTGCCTGGAGAATCCCATGGATGGAGGAGCCTGGCAGGCTACAGTCCATTGAGTTTATACTGACACACAGTAAACTGCCTATGTATGTAAGTACACAATCTGATGTATGAAAAATATATAATGCCTGTGAAACCATCACCACCCTCAGGACAATCAATGTATCCACCACCCCAGGTTTCCTACCCACTCCCACCCATCCCTGTCTCCTGGCAACCACTGACCTTTCTGCCACTACAGTTTACATTTCTACTATGTTACATGAGTAGACCACAGGTACACACTTGGTTTTATCTGGCCTTGCTCACTCTGCACAGTTCTAACATTCATCATGTGATTGTGCCCACACTGAAAATCCAACTCCATTTATTGCTGAGTAGTATCCCAGGGTAGAACATCCTGCAATCTGTCAATTGGTGATGGACATTCAGTTTATCTATAGTCTGCAACAATCACAAATACGCTGCCATGAACATCCACGTACATATTTTTATACTTGTGTGTACGCTTTTCTCTTGGGAAAATACCTAGGGAAAGACTAGCTAGATTGTTTGGCAGGCATGTATTTAAGGATGGCCAGTTCCACGAAGCGCCTGGGTGGCTTTTGGAGGGTCCACACTGTGTGTATTTAACCTACAAGATAAGGTGCACACTGGTCACGAGGAACTAATGACCCACCCACTCACCCACAGGGAGGCCTCATCAGGCTGCAGCTGCTTCGCTCCATGTGTGGAGGGGGTTCCCAGAAGGGAATATCTCCCGGCATCACCTCTGATTTTGTGAAATGCTCAGCGCACGAGCTCCTGACGCCAGAAATGGCCCACGAGAGGGCTGTGTGATCTGTCTGCAGGAGACCCTCGACATGCTGGAGCATCTCACGGGTCTAGAGCAGATCAGTTGTGATCAACACTGAGAGCTGTGTGTGGACCATAGCAGGGGTTCTGCAAGGGCGGTCCCACCAGCGTCACCTGGGAGCTGGCCTAGAAATACACATCTCCCCCGTCCAGACCTACAGAGTCAAAACTCTGAGTGGAACCCAGCCATGTGGGCTTCCCAGTAATCGGATGCATATTCCAATTTAAGAACCAGCAGCCTAGAACGTCTTTTAAGCCCTTCGACTCTACTGGAATTAAATCCATCAGAAGTCATGTTACATCAGGGGCACACCCCCTCCGTGGCCTCATTCCATCCCCACAGCTGTGGAAAGAAAGTGAAAGTGTGAGTCATACCTGACTCTACTGCCCCACGGACTGTAGCCCACCAGGCTTCTCTGTCCATGGGATTCTCCAGGCAAGAATACTAGAGTGGGTAGCCATTCCCTTCCCCAAAGGGTCTTCCCAACCCAGGGATCAAACTTGGGACTCCTGCACTGCAGGCAGATTCTTTACCATCTGAGCCACCGGGAGCTCACCCTTTTAGAACACTGCAACCCTGTGTTAAAGTCTCCTCAAAGAGCCAGGCTACCAACTGGAATGCAGAAATGCAAAGTGATGGTCATCCCTTCTTTCCCAAAGACCAGACTCCAAACAAAACGAAAGTTCTAGGAACTCAATCACTGAAGCATTTAAACCCAGCTGTCAAAACCACCTGTGTGTCTACCTGGGGCTTTCACCCTAGCAAATTATGACATAAATAAATCTAAGGAAAGAAAAAGACAAAGATTTTAGGTGATACACTGCAACTCTCTTTACTGCTCTAGAACCCTCGCTCCAAATTAACACATCAGCAGGGACATTAATCAAACTTGAATAGGAAGAATTTGAGTAAAAATATTGAATACTTTTTGTTTTAATCTTCAGCTTAAGCATCATTGCTGCTTGACATTATAATCGGAGAGAAGGTCTGCTCATTTTCCTGGTATTTCGGCAGGCTTACCACTTAGCCCAGTCCTTGAAAACTCTCTCCAGCTTCTGGCCAAGCAGAACTTTGCCGCTCACTTTGAACTTGCCGGCAAGGAAAGCCTTCTGAGGGTTCATTTTGCCCAAAATCAACTCCATGAAGACAGGCTCGGGGATTGTGAAGACGGTGTCCGCTGGGAGCCTGGCAGGTCCTAGATACGTGTCCCCAGAGCCGTTCTTCAGATCAATGGTCCACTGGTGGGCAGTCTTCCCATCTTTGGTGATGTCCAGCTGGAAGATGGCATTGACTTTCTTCACCAGCTGGTCCCCCACTTCTTTGATGTGCTGGCTGATGTCCTCAAACACTGGGACGGTGTGGAATTCTGACGGCGAGAGAGGGTGTGGCATGGCGGGTTCCCGACCAGGACCCAGTTCCTTGAACTGGCCTGCTTGAGGCCCGTCCCCTGCCTTGATCTTGAGCTGATGGTCAATTCTCTTCCACATCCTACTGCACTGGTCCTCCTGACCTTGCCGACTGGTGTGTGAGCAGCTGTGGCCAGGTTAATATGCACAAGGTCAGATTGTGACATCAAAGGCAAGGCCAAGTGGGGACTCAGGCTGCATGTATGTGCCACAGTCTCATTGGCTGAACGGGTGCTAAACATGTGACACGGGGTTAGGGCTCGGCCAGGTCATTGTGACACAGACCCACACCACCACTCCCCTAAACCACAAGGTCCCACAAGCCCAGCCTAGAAAGGTCTGGACCCCAGGCTGGCAATAAAGGAAACGGGCCCACAGGAGGTTCTCCGGTGACATGAGCCCTGTCTTTTCAACAGCCCTAACTTTTCAACAGCCCTAACTGAGAGAGCACTCATTCTGATTCTTTCAAAAGTAGAGATCCTTAAGGTCCAGATCCTGGTGCTTCACCTGCCTACTGGGGAGTGGGAAAAACTGTTAGAATAAAACAGCTGGTGGAGGAGGGCTCAGCACCAGGACCTGCGCTAGAAGCTTCCAGAAGCAGAGTGAGAGGGGAAAAAGGAAAGAAACAAATATCCCTGAGGTCAGAAGACACTGCTGGTCTCACAGGATAACTGCAGACACTATCACAGCCCTCACTCCGAGCCACAACACTGCTGTAGGCACTGCACATGTATTTTATCAACACACTTAACTCTCCATGTAACTGTCTGAGGTGGGTACTGGTATGATCCTCATTTTACAGATGAGGAAGCCGAGGCAAGCAGAAGTGAAATGACTTTCCAAAGCCACCCAGTGAGCTGTAGGGCAGCCAGGTTTAAACAGAAGTGACAGAAGAAGGAAGTGACAACCCACTCCAGTCTTCTTGCCTGGGAAATTCCATGGACAGAGGAGCCTGGTGGGCCACAGTCCATGGGGTCACAAAAGAGTCGGACACGACTTAGGGACTAAACAACAGCAATAATAAGTACTGGCAAAGGTGTGCAGGGAAAGAAGCCTCCTAGACTGTTGGTGGGAATGTAAACTGATGCGGCCACTGTGGAAAACAGTATAGTTTCCCTAAAAAACTAAAAATAGATCTACCATATAATCCAGCAATCTCACTCTTCGGCATATATCCAGAAAAGACGAAACCTCTAATTGAAAAGATATATTCACCCAATGTTCACTGCAGCACTGTTTACAATAGCCAAGACGTGTTAAGTTGCTTCTGTGGTGTCCGACTTTGTGCGACCCCATGGACTGTAACTGGCCAGGCTCCTCTGTCCATGGGATTCTCCAGGCAAGAAGACTGGAGTGGGGTTCCATGCTTCCCTGCTGGCTTCAATGGTAAAGAATCTCCCTGCAATGCAGGAGACCAGGGTTCAATCCTTGGTCGTATGAAGACATGGAAGTAACCTGAACACCCACTGATAGATGAATGGATAAAGAAGTCTGTATAATCTCCAAATTCACATGCTGAAACACTAACTCCACCATGTGATGGCTTAGGAAGCGAGAGGTGATCAGGACTAGATGAGGTCATAAAGGGGAAGCTCTCATGAGTTTGGTTAATGCCCAGAAAAGGGCGAAGATCGATAACATTAATCCACCATGCCCACAGGAAGACAGTACCAAGCCCTGAAAGCCTTTCTCACTGGAAAAAGAGTTACTGCACTATACCAAACTCATGTACAAATATATTTGTAAAGTCCCAGTAACTTAGATTATATATACATAGAACAGAGATCATCCCTCCCAAAAGGCATCACTGGCCAGTGTAAGAGCATTCCTATTCCAGCTGAAGACAGGGCCGAAGACAGGCAAATAGTTAAAGTAAAACAGTTGTACTTATCTTTCCATACGTTATATGCATGACCAAGTGGTAACTTTTTAATTTAGATAAAATGTGTAAGATATGCCTGCCCAAAATTAATAAAACTGATTGTGAATAAAACAACAGATAAAGTTTCTAAGAAAAGTGATGCATTTTTCTGATGTTCCTGACATTATTCAAAATGTTTTTCAGAATACCTCTTTATGACCACTGTCACAGACCAAGGCTCAGCTGGTAAAGAATCCACCTGCAATGTGAGAGACCTGGGTTCGATCCCTGGATTGGGAAGATCCCCTGGAGAAGGGAAAGGCTACCCACTCCAGTATTCTGGCCTGGAGAATTCCATGGACTGAATAGTCCACAGGGTCACAAAGAGTCAGACACAAGTGAGTGACTTTCAATTTCACTTTTCACTTCACTTTCACAAACAAAAGCCGAGTTCTTTTACTGCCTCATATCATTCAGGATGTTCTCAGCTATGAGCGCCAAGAACAGCCACAACTCTACAGGCTTCAACCCTTCAACTTCACAGTCTCCCTTCCTGTGAAAAGAACTGTGATCTCCCATTAAAAGTCCTGAGGTGGGGCTAGAGGGACCAACCACGGGGCACAGCTCTGGACTGGGGTTTTCCATGACCAAGGGGTTTCCCAGGAGATATGACATTCAGTGCTAAAGCCAGCAAGTCCCAGACAAGCAGGAGGAGCTGGCCACTCCAGGGTTGGTTCCTTGAGCAGCTCAGTGAGTCTTCAAGCACCCAAGGTCCCTCCTTCCATTATCCTGCTAGATGTTCTTCTAAGGTCAGTGACCCTTGTGGAGGCAACACTTTGGGGCATCATTCAGTAGAACAACAAAATGAGCCACCTTCTCCTACATGTACTCTTTACCAGAAGGGCCTATTCTCCCCAAGTCTTTCAGCAACTTCATGCCTGTCTCACGGCCAGGACTATGCTCATCATCCTTGGCAGGATCAGCTTCTGTCTGTGGCTGAAAAATGTCACCTGCCAGATCAGTAAACCAAAGGTATTGTGGCCATCAAGTCCTCAGCCACCCCTTAGTGTGTGCTCTGAGGGGATTCAGGATGGAGAAAAGCAGGATACTGGCCCTAGATAGCTGGGGTGCAGACCAAAGCAGTGATTTCAGTGAGCCCAGAATCTCCCATCTTCCCAAACACAGAAAAGCAGCTAAAGTCATTAACTTGCAGTGTCATGTTTTCTTAATGAACAGTAACATTCTGATGTTCCACTACAGGGTTTTGTTTTTGTTTCTTTCGTGGTGGTTTAGCCAGTAAAGAATATGCCAGCAATGCAGGAGACCCAGGTTCTATCCCTATGTTGGGAAGATTCCCCTGGAGAAGAGAATGACTACCCACTCCAGTATTCTTGCCTGAAGAATTCCATGGACAGAGGAGCCTGGTGGGCCCCAGTCCATGGGGTCACAAAGAGTCGGACACGACTGCGCAGCTAACTTTTTTGGACTTCCCTGCTAGCTCAGACGGTAAAGAATCTGCCTGCAATGCAGGAGACCTGGGTTCGATCTCTGGGTCAGGAAGATTCCCTGGAGAAGGGAGTGGCTATGCACCCCAGTATTCTTGCCTGGAGAATCCTATGGACAGAGGACCTGGCGGGCTGTAGGTGGGCTGCAGAGTCGAACATGCCTGAGCACACACAGAGCTCCTATACGACCTGGCTCCTCTTCAAAGCTGTCCCTCAGGGCCATCTGAGAGGCTGTCTTCCCAGCTTATGGTTCTCAATTTTTAGGTTGTGTTTTTCTTTTTCAGTCCAGAGGTTCACAGAGTCACCTTTGAGGCCAGACTCAGCCACCTTTCCCTAACTTCGGGGCTGCCTGGAGGAACGTGGAACCCAACAGAGGTGCTAGAGAAACAGAAGGAGGAACTAAGAGTGAATGGCACTCATCCCCTGAGGTAGGTGTCCCCTCGGGAGTCCCCTGAGAGGCAGGGGTAAGAACGACACAGGCCAGGGACCTGTCAGAGGGATGCGACCTTCCTCATGTCGGGAAAGAAGCTGGCTGCATAGTTCCCCTGCAGCCACTGTTTGCGTCTGGGCAGGGCCTGAGGGTAGCTGAGCGGCAGCCCAGCCCAGAGGTCAGGGAAGCAGTGGGCAGACATGGAAGCCCGTGAAATGACCAACCAGGTGAGCCAGCAGACCCCACATGCTCCCTACAGGTCTATAGCACCTGGGTAGCCGCACCCACATTTTCCTCCAGTAGAAAAGACTCCGTGCTGTGTCATTTCTGCCTCCCAAGACTCAGGGGAGGTCAGCACCCCGTGCTCACCCTGAAAGTCTGCGGGGATGGGAATTCTGGAAAACATAGTTCTAGCTCCACTAAGTTGTTTGAGAGCAAAGCTGGAGCCACATCGAGTGCTTTGACTTCTATAAACAAAATTCATGTACACACTGCTATATTTACAATGGATAACCAACAAGGACCTGTTGTATAACACAGGGAACTCTGCTCAATGTTATATGCCAGGCTGGATGGGAGTGGGGGTTTGGGGGAGAACAGATACCTGTACATGGATGGCTGAGTTCCTTCACTGTTTACCTGAAACTATCACAACATTGTTATTTGGCTATACCCCAATACAAAATAAAAAGTTTAAAGTTTGAAAAAAACAAAAAACCTCAAACTAACTCTAAGGATAAAGTGGCCCAATAGGCTGAGCACTGTCATCTAGCTACGGTGGAGGAAGTGTCATTTTATTCTCAGTTTCTTTCCTTCTTTCCCACTCACTGATGCGGACTCTGGTCACCCCGTCAGAGCAGAGCAAAGCAAAGCAAAGTAAGAAGGACAACTCGCCATGTCCCCAGCCACTTCCTCTGACACACGGTTTGGAAACCCTGACGACCCCCCTGGAGAAAAGTCTGATGCAGTCAGTTGCAAGAGCTGGGTCAGCCCCTAGGTCTTACTGAACTCAGTACATCAAGAGCACTGTCCCTATGGAACAAATCCTGGTAAGTTCCCCTGGCTGTTTTGAAAGATTCATCAACCCTGAACCAGGAGAGGGCCGGGGGTGCAAACCAAAGAACAAAGTTCCAGACAAGCAGGAACTGTGCCTATCTCAGAAGGATGTTTTTGGTACAGTGTGTTATTTAACTGTGGTCACTGTAACTGGGGACACATCACAGAAGCCCGAAAGCTGATGGTTAAGAGAGTCTGTAAAGATCTTGTAATTATCCATTTAAAAATGAGGACCTTTACTGATAGACATAACAGGAATGAATATAAAAAATGCTATGCCAAAAGGCTGCATAATATATGATTCCCCTTAGGAGAAGGGGGTGGCAAAGGACGAGATGATTAGAGAGAATCACCGACTCAATGGACATGAGTTTGAGACAACTCTGGGAGGTAGTGAAGGACAGAGAAGCCTGGCGTGCTGCGGTCCACGGGGTCGCCAAGAGTCAGACAGGACTTAGTGACTGAACAACAACAAACATGAAGTTCTAAAACTGGCAAAACTAATCTATAATGGAAAAAAAATCAAAAGAATCTTTACCCTGGGGTGTGAGGGTGAGATTAACTGGGAAGTGGCATGAAGAAACTCAGGGGTGATAGGTATATACATCTGTCAAAATTCTACACAGAGTGATGTGTCACTCATGCTTGCAACTTGTTTTGAAATGCAATAAAAGATAAGATGGATTGATGGATGGATACATAGACATGTAACAAAACAAATACAGCAGAATATGGTAGAATCTAGGTGGGGGGTATATGAGTGTCCATGAATCAGCCTAGTACTGAATTATAGGTAGATGTCAACAAACTGACTGGTGAAAAGATGGGGAAAGGCTATTAGAAAAGGATTCATAAAAGTTACAGTCCTTTAGAAGGCAGGCCAGACATTCAGAATACACAGTATGGTTCACACCATTCTTTTTAAATATATGAAAAACAATCACCCTGTTGAACTTGGTTCCTCTCAGTTACTAAGTGCTGGTTATGTGATGATTCCAAGTTAAATACACACAAATTTTGTCCATAGCACATGAAGGATCTCTCTCTACTTCTCTATTCGGCAGCCTTGTTATCAATCATCTAATACATAAATAAACAAACCATCACATCTCAGAGGCTCACAATAATAAGCAATTATTTCTTGCTTACAGGGCTTCAGAGAGGTTAGGGATTGGCCAGTCTGGTGGGGGTCCACTGGCCTAGGCTCCAGGCCCTGTGTCTCTCATTCTGCTTGATCAGCAGGCTCCCAGGGGCAGGTTCTTCTCACCATGAAGACCACAATACAAGAAGGCAAGACCTCCTGCACAAGTACGTGCCAAGACTTTGCTCATGTTTCTGTTAAAATTCCACTAGCCAAAGGAAGTAACACGGCTAAGCCAAATAATCACAGCCCCTCATTCACCCAGCTCTGGAAATGAAGAACTCACCTCTTTATTTATCACTGCAAGAGATTCAGGGGCAGCTTCAATTGGGGGTCGAGTGACGTGGAGCCTCTGTCTGCTTGAATGGCCCCCTCCAGAGCTTCCACTGCACAGGAGAAACAAATCTCAAGTGTGTAACCACCAATTCCAGTGAACTGTTGTATTTTGCCTCTTCAGCTCCCCTCAAGGTAGAACCCCGAGGGGACAATTACAAACATCGGGCCAAGAGATAGAACACAGGGCACTTCTTTTTCTGCCGCAGGAGAAGTCAATTAGGGTTTCAATTTCCACTGTTAAATGTCACCTTTTTACAACATCCTGGAGGAGAGCCGGCAGCCCTGTCCTTAGGGGGGCGAAAAAAACTCTTTCAAGGAAAGGCTTATTGTCTGAAAAGACACAGAAGGGTCCAAAGATTAAAGGGCCCACTCAGGCTCTCCGGATTTCCCGGAGCTCTTGGTTTCTATTTCCAGCTGAACATCTGGCTCCCTGGTAGCCCCCAGTGAGTCTTTTGAGCCTCCCTGCCTCACTTTTCTACCGGTTGCAAAAAGAGATGATAAACCAGGCTGCCACACAATGCATATAAAGTGCCCCCAAGGAGTGAGGAAGGGAGGCAGACTTCTCGAAGGAGAGAGCTGTCAGCATGTTTTCTCCTGATCTTCAGGTATCTCCAGTGTCTGGAACCCCTCATTAGAGCATGTGGTCCTTCCCCTGAGAAGTCAGATGAGAGACAGAATCAATGGAGCCAAGAAACTCCCTTCTCTTGTCTCTGCTGCAAGGCAGATGAGTCAAACTGCATGATGGCCGGTCAGTCTTCTTCACTCACTAACACTCTGTGCCCTATTTTCAAAAGGAGGAGCATGTTGTTGGCATGGCTGAAAGATTAAACACTCCCACTCCATCGCTACAGCCACTAGTGGGTATTTTATCACAATTTCTGTGCAGGAACTTTCTGTCCACAAAAACCCTTCCTCCACCCAGATGGGTGAGACTGAGAGTATCTCCAGTTTCTAAAGTTAGGTCATAAATCGCTCTCCTGCTTGCAGGGTGGTGTTGCCCCTGAAAAGATCCCATCTGTTCATGGTCTGCAACTTATTTTGAAATGCATTCAAAAATCAAGAAGGGCTCGTGCACTTTTAAATTTTTTTTAATTATTTAAAACTTTTTTTCTGTTTTCAATTATAGGGGAACTCATTTCCTCCCTCTCTGTTCATCTATAGAACAGGAACACTGGCCTTTTCCAAAGTATTAGGAGGAAGGACAAGGGCAGCTGGAACTCTCATAATGCTGCCAACATGCCAAAGAGTTCCACTCTGAGAAATAGGTTTCAGTATCTAAAATGGGTAGGTTGTTTTTGTTTTTTTGTATATATCTGTACAAGTGGAATTGCTGGACCCCAGACAATATTTCCAGGGATATACCAAACAGAAATATCTACATTTTTTCTTAAAAGACACATATTAGAATGACTTTAATCAGCCAAATGTGGTAACCACCCATATGCCCATCAACAGTAGAAAGGATAAATTACAGGAAACTAAACAGCAATGAGAATTAACACTCTACATCTATACACAACATAGTGAAACTCACAGTCATCGTTTTGAACAAAAGAAGCCAGACCCTCACCCTCCCCCTACCAAAAGGAGTTCATACAGCTTCTAGAGAGCTGGTAATTTTCTACTTCTTGATCTGAGCATTTTTAATTTGGGAAAATGTATTGAACCATACATTTATGATGTGTGCTCTTCTCTAGAGGTATATTACACTTCAATGAAAGGTTTTAAATACATGTTCACACAGAAAAAGTGCCCACAAATCAGAACAGAAAGCATTGGAGGAAAGCGTCCACCCAATCTTCCACTCCCTCCCTCCCTCCCTTCCCAGGGGAAAGCCATGGCTGACTGGTGTTGAAGGGGAAGCTGGAATCACAGCCACACAGAGCCTGGGTGACCCCTCCTCCCCAGGCTCCCAGGCCCTGCTTCGATTCCCTTGTCTTGACTGCCATGACCTGAAACGTGAGAGGCAATGATTCTCCTTTCATCTGGCCAAGCCAGTGGACCTGCTCTGCAGACCCAAGTACCACTGCTCATGGGCACCTCAAGTCCAGGGGGAAGAAGCGGGGAACCCTGGCTGACTGTAGCATAAACCATGTTCTCTGGTCCAGGGCTGCCAGCAACAGAGGTGCTACTGTGACCTCCAATTCCCATCGCTTACATCTATTTCTCAACTGATTCCAAAGATGGAAGAGGAAGACACATGATTAATGATCACCCCTTAAACATCAACAACATCTTACTCAGCAGTTAAGAAGGTGAAGACAAGAATAAATGTATTGCTCTTATTTTATGAAGCATTAAGACCACAGCCTGTGAGTTCCTAATGGATCCAAGGAGACGGTGATGCCCCTTTGGAACAAAACCAACTGGGTAATTAGAAAAGAAGAATGCGATTATCTAATCTCCTTCCTGTAAGATTTCCCTGCATTAACAAGAAATCGCTTTTCTGGGTGACTCCTAAATTGGAGATTTAGAGGTTTTGAATGTAGTATCAGAGGTTATCCCGTTGCTGAGTTAGATGTCCCAGTCACTGGTTGCCACAGATGGAAGCAATGGGGGGGTCACAATATTTTTCAGCTCCTTCCATCAAGAAGTGAAGTCCATCTCTCCATCCCTTTGGTCTGGGTCTGGCCAAGTGACTTGCTTTAGACAGTGGGATGCAGCAACTTAAGACAAGCAGGAGCTTAAAAAGTGCTGCACCATTAGCCATGCCCTCTGATTATTGGACATATTCCACCACTGTCTGAAGAAGACTGCTGGAGGATGAGAGGCCACATGGACCAAGGCCCCAGAAATAGAAGTGAGATGCCTAGATCACCAAGCCCCAGCCAAGAAGCCCATGTGAGAAGAACCACCTAAACAATCCAGAGAATCTTGAGAAATGAAAAGTGTTACCAGTATACAACAGATTAGAACAGCCAAAATCCACAGCACTGACAACACCTAATGCTGGAGGGGACGTGGAGCAACAGGCATACTCATCCCCTGCTGGGGGGATGCAAAATGGTGCAGCCACTTTGGAAGACAGTTTGGCAGTTTCTTACAAAACTAAACACACACTTACCATAGGATCCAGCTTATTTTGTGCTCCTTAGTATTTACTCAAATGAACTGAAAACTATATCCACACAAAAACCCACGCAAGGATATTGATAGTAGTGTTATGCATGATTGTCATGCAAACATGTAGCAACCAAGATGTACCTCAGTGGGTTAAAAATGAACTATGGTACACTCACACAATGGAATACTATTAAGCACTAAAAACAAATGAACTATCAAGCCATGAAAAGACACAGGGAAACTTCAAAGCATGTTACTAAAAAGCCAATCTGAAAAGGCTACATACTGTATGAGTCCAACTATATGACATTCTAGGAAAGGCAAAACGACGGACACAGAGAAAAAGATCAGTGGATGTCAGGGGTTTGGGGCTAGGGAGGAATGAACAGGTGGAGCACAGAGGATTTTTAGGGTAGTATGACTGTTCTGTATGATACTATATCAGTGGATAGTTGTAGTAGTAGTGTAGTGTTAGTCACTCAGTCGTGTTTGACTCTTTGTGATTCCATGGACTGTAGCCCAGCAGGCTCCTCTGTCTACAGAATTCTCTAGGCAAGAATACTGGCGTGGGTAGCCATTCCCTTCTCCAGGGGGTCTTCCTGACCCAAGGATTGAACCTGGGTCCCCTGTATTGCAGGCAGCTTCTTTACCATCTGAACTACCAAGGAAGCCCCATATTGATGGATGATGGTAATGGTTTAGCTGCTCAGTCGTGTCCAACTCTTGTGATTCCATGAACTGTAGCCCACCAGGCTCCTCTGTCCATGGAATTCTTACAGGTCGTCACTTGTCAAAACCCACTGGATGTACAACACCAAGATTGAGTCCTTATATAAACTATAGCTTTTGGATGACAATGATGCCTCAACATAGGTTCACTGATTTTAACAAATGTCCCACTTTGATGGAGTACATTGATGGTACTGGAGGCTATGCATGTGTAAGGCTAGGAGAATACAGACCTAAAACTGCTCTAAAAAAATAAAGTCAATTAAAGATAACATGTATTATTCTAAGCCACACAGTTTTTAGATGGCCTGTTACATAGCAAAAGCTAACTGATATACTGAGTCAACTGTTGAATGGGGAGGAGAATCAAGGGGAATTGAATCTGCCACATTAGAATCACAGACACAAATGAGAAAACACAGGACAAAACAGCTGCCATGGAATCCAGGAGAGAGTACAGTCGTATCTGTAGTTGGGCAAGTTAGATTAAACCAGATGAAAGTAAGTTTTTTTTTGTTTTTTTTTTTATATTGTAGTGGTTTTTGTCATACATTGACATGAATCAGCCATGGATTTACATGTATTCCCAATCCCGATCCCCAGATGAAAGTAAATTAAGCCCAGATGACATGCTGGGTTTGACATTTTACAAGGACACACTTTTTAGGCCCCATCATGTGCTGTTTTTGTTTTCTCCTTACTATTAGAACGGACTCCCTCCACTGAGGTTTGATGGTAAAATTCCTATTTCTGGAAGCTTCAAATGTGGGGCACAAGGTAATGAATGCAATTCCTATGTCGACGACTAAAGAGGCAGAGCATGAGCTGCTTGGACCTGAGCGAACCAGCAGGTGCCTGCCTGTCTGCTCCGGTCACCGGATCCCAAAGGGTCTGGTCATCAGCACTAAGGAGGGGAGAAAAGGAAACAAGAAACGCTGGATATGATGGACTACCCAGAGGTAATTTAATTGGTTCTCTGGAATGAGTGATTCACCACCCCTTTACCTCCTTCACCACCCACCCTGCCTTCAATCTCCCCTGTCCCCACCACATGACACCCATCCACACACACACACCAGCAAACAGCACAACATTGGGCCCGAGTCTCCTTATTAAAAACCCTGACATCAAAAAACAAGGATTTCTCTGAGCATTTGGTATCATGTGCTGGGAATGTGGCCATGGATGGTGAAATAAGAAAAGTCCCTGTGGATGAAAAACTGAAGCCAGTACTGAAGTCAGATTCCAGCCTCAGCAGCTGTGACTCCTCTGTCTCAAGACTCAGGGAGTCAGGAAGAACACTGGAGTGGGGTGGAGAGAATAGCACAGCTCACTGACAGACGGAGCTGGCCATGGTTTCAATATTAGCACTATTTCCTGAACTGATCAGAATTCCACCAAGGCTGTTAATTGGCTGCTGACCATATGCCTCTTGTTTCTGAAAGTGCTTCCTGATTCAACATGGAAATGACAACTGAATTACACATCGGTCATGCTTGACCTGCCATTCCTGAGCCCCTCAATTCAAAGTCTCCTCCCACATTCATAGGATGATTGGGGACATGAAGAAAACATCCTGGATGGGTGATGAGATGGCTCTTCCTCTTCAAAGAGAAGACAGGAACAACCAGAGAGCTATGCCCAAATTTGGAGAGGTTTTTCTAGCTCAAATCAAACAATACCTTGAAGATTTCCCTAAATTCTTAATCTGTGACCAAACAGGTTCAAAAAATGAGGAGATAGGGAGAGATAAATTTGGAGATTGGGGTTGACATATGTAAGCTACTATATATAAAATAGGTAATTAATAAGGACCTACCACATAGCACAGGGAAATCTACTCAATACTATGCAGTGGTCTATATGGGAAAAGACTAAAAAAAGAGTGGATATATGTCTAACTGATTCACTGTGCTATACACCTGAAGTGAAGTGAGTGAAGTAAAATTTGCTCAGTCGTGTCCGACCAACTCTTTGCGACCCCATGGACTGCAGCCTGCCAGGCTCCTCTGTCCATAGAATTCTCTAGGCAAAAATACTGGAGTGGGTTGCCACGTCCTCCTCCACACCTGAAACTAATACAAAACTGTAAATCAACTATACTCCAATAAAAAAAATTTTTTAAATAAGGAGTTGGACTCCAAAGACCTAAGAAACAACTTTTTAAAAAGTTGACCAGGATGGGGAATACATGTAAATTCATGGCTAATTCATTTCAATATGACAAAAACTACTGCAATGTTGTAAAGTAATTAGCCTCCAACTAATAAAAATAAATGGAAAAAAAGGGGGGGGGGACTGCACTGCCAAGGTTTATAAAAACGTGTATGTGTTAATATCCTGT